ATAAATTAAATTGCGGCGCGACGACGTGATGCGCTATATTCAAAAATTCATTTCTCGAAAACAAAAAAAAACGGTTTTTTGGAAAACAAGTATTTCATCAGAAAAAAGCTCAGCTTTCATTTAAAAATAAAAGGAAAAAGAAAAAATGAACCCAAAGATGCGAAAAGTGAAAATTTATTTTTATTTTTTCAAAATTTATGTCAAAATAAAAAAATTTTTGAAAATAGACTTTGCCATTCGAAAGCCCATGAAAAAATCTAAAAAACCCATATTCTAATTTTTTTTTAAATTTTTTCCTCTAATTATAAGAAATAATCAAATTGGAGCGCGTCACGCAAAAGTTCAGAACTTCTACCCCCTCCCCCTTGGACAATTTTTTATAAAATTCAAAAAAATTTATATGATAAATTACTAACCTATAGGGCATATCATAAAAAAAATTTGGGAATAATTGGACAACATTTTTTTTTTTGGGTGGAGTTTTGACGTGATATCCACCATATATTAGTAAACCATTACAAATATAGATGAATATTAAAATATTCAATCAATGAAATAAAAAAAACTGTTAATTAAATAAAACAATTTTGCAGAAATATTTTTCTAAATAGATTTTTTTACAAAATTAATTTATTTATTAATTATTACACTTTTTTATTATATGTGACGCGCTATGAAGAAAGGTACCTAAGAAACAAAAAATTTTAATGTAATATTTGTGTTTTTTTATCTTAATTACAATTTTCTGATTAAGTATGTGAAACTAAAATCAGCTTTTAATTATTATTTAAGACGTAATAAAGAATTAAGCATCACTGATTTATATAAAGGGTGTACTCTCTTTGTGTACTTTCGTTCAAAAAATTACAAACAACCTAAAAATTTTTGCATCTTAGCACCGCTCCTAGAAGTGCGTCACATATTTTTTATATTAATTTATTATTAATTAATCAATTTTTTTAATTATAAAAAATTAAGAAAAGGAAATTAGTCAAATTTTTTTTATTTCATAATCATGCAATTTTTCTAAGAACAAAAATTAGTCGACGTTATTTAAACTAATAAAGCTACTGAATAATAATTAATAACTTATTTTCTATTTGCGGGAAATTTCATCAGTTGAATACATATATTTTTTTTCTCCTGATAATTGGTGTATATGATTACAAATGCAACATACTAACACAATTACAATTTTTATAAACATATTCAGAGAAAAAAAACTTGTTTGTCAACTTGAAATAACACTTAATAATAATTCTTTTCTCTCTAGATGTTTCTCGATAAACGTTTTCATTTCGTTACAATTTAAAACACCTTATAAAACTTTTAAAGAAACTTTCCTTTTTTTTAGTCGAGAGATAACTCGATCTCATTATGTAACACACTTTTATTATTATCATCATCGCACATACTAAAATTATCCCTCCACATATACACAAACATATGATATATGTATCGTACATAAATATTTTTAATGATGTGCAAATTATGATATACACTTCTTTTCTTAATTAAACAAATAATTAATAAGGTCATCACTCTCTTTTTCGTTTGATTTAAATTGTACACATATATCCTACTCAATTGAAAACAAATTAAAAAGTAATTATAAATTAAAAATTTTAAGACAAATGGATAAGACACGCGAAAACTTTATTGCAGTCTTGTGTACACAGAATTTTTATTTATACATATATATTCGTTTAACGAATATGATTAAAATTCTTTTGCGCGAAATTCTTATTTTTGTGAGGTCACTAAACTCCTGAAGTAAAATGTAATTTACAACCGCTACTCGCTCGAGGGTATACCTCGCATAATGTAGTTTTAAACTACATGATGTGACACGAATTCATAAATCAAAATTTACATCCGTAAATTTTCTTCTAAAAGAAAATATCAGTAAAAAACGGCATAAAAAAGAAGTAATTGCAAATTTTACTATAAATTATCTTTCACGTTATTTACCTCAATTTTTGATTAAAATTTACAATCTGATTTTAATTTTTTATTTATTTTTTATTTCGGTACTAATAAGGGGAAAAGAACTACAGACTGAATTAGTTTCAAAAATTTTAAATTTATATTTTTGTTTAAATATTTAATTTGTATTTGAATTTAGAATATTTTTTGCTCTTTGTAAAAAAGAGAATTAGTTACTGAAAGAATAGGGAATTTGATTTATTTAAACTTCAAACGGAATTCAATTTTTAACTCCAGAAAATGATATCTATAATTTCGGTAATTAGCTGGCTGAATTAGAAATAGGTTAGAATAGGTTTTACTATATTTATAAAGTAAAACCTATAAAGTTTTTAATGTATTTTTAAATACTCTACAATATAGTTATAATAGTTTAATAGTTAAACAAAAATTTTCAAACAAAAAAGTTGAGAAAATGTCATTTTCCACAATTTTTGGTTTTTAAAATACCAATAATTTCGAAATTTATTAGCGAATTAGGTTCAAAAATAGGTCAATCGAAGCGTGTTTTGAAGCTCTACAAGTTGGTAACGATAATTTTAAGATTACTTCTACATTTTTCAACAAAATTGTCAAAAAAGTCTTATTTTCCAAAATTTTGAATTTTTAAAAGTTTAATATCTCCAGTTAATATGGACGAAAAATGTTCAATTGGAGCTCAAAAGATGCGTCTAAAAAAACTCTACAAAATTATGGAAAAACATTTATAGGTGTCCTAACATTTTTTTAAAGTTATGGGCAAAAAACGTTTTTTTTGCAAAATTAAAAATCCAAAAAAAATTTAGTTAAACTTTATTAATCTATCTCAAAGTACTCTCATTTTATGTCCGCAGGTGAGATCTACAATTTAAAAAAAAATTCAACCCAAAAGCTCTTCATGATTTCGAGATATTTATGAAAATGTGATGTTTACACACACACACACACATACGGAATGACATTTTTTAAAAATGTCATTTTTGAACTCCTGAGGTCAAATAACATAAAGATATGTCAAAAAATCGAACTCGAAAAATTTCGGTATTACAATACTTCCTCTATGAGGAAGTAAAATTAAAAAGTTCAGTAACAATTGAGGGGATGGATGCTATAATGTGTTACGCGCCATTTACTTAACATATACTCGAAAAGTTGTAAAAGTTTTCAGAAATTCTGAACATGCAGTTTAGGCTTTAATTTTGTAAATAGAAAATATTACTGTGCAGTTTTTCTTTGATAGTCATAACTATTAATTATATTCATAACTTATTAATTTACAACTTAAAAAATGATTTGTTAAAACTACTTTTAGTATGTGTTAAAAGTTAAAATAAATAAAATTTATTGTAACTAATTTTAATTAGTCAAATTTGACTATTTTTTAATTTTTCAACTAAATATTAATCATTTTATAGTACTTATTATTAATTACTTTTTAATATTATAACTTTATAACAAAAGACTTCTAAAAGTCAGTAAAATTTGTACTAATAATTATGTTCGATTTATTTAAAATTGTAGTAAAAATTTAACTAATAATTAGTTACATAATTGTATAATTAAATCAAATTTAAAGTAAGTAAAACCACATTTAAAAAAGATAGAATAATCTTTTAGTACCTGCAGTCAAAACTGTCTTAGTGAGACACTGATATTTTACTCTACCTGCTTAGAATATCTTCAAGATCTGCACTAAAAATACTTTCCGAATATATATCAAATAATTTTTCTCATTTTGGTACAACTATTCCTATACATTACTGTTTACTAAAATTATCCTCTGAAATTAAAACGAAGTAGGTACCTAATTTTATTTCAAAAACAAAGCAAGAAAAATTCATATATACTATAGAAAAGAGAGCAAAACAAAGTGGTCAAAGAACATAAAATTTTCTTCTAATTTTAAAATTGAAAAATCGAAAACTGAAGAATAGCTCAAAAAATGTTTAATAATAAATATTTCTCACTTCGTCAAGTTCGACTGTAAACCCAGAAAAAAGATGTACTCGATAATTAAACTTGGGGTAATTAAATTTATCAATAAATTGAAGTTGATTTTGGGCCCCTAAAAAAATGTTGATACCGAAAACATTTGATAAATAAAACCTTCGATAATTTGAATTTTTTTATGTCCCTTGAGATTCAATTTATCGAAAGTCGATTGTATTTGTCTCAGAACTCACTAACTTACTGCACTTTATTTTAAAAAAAATGTATTTAATTTAAATAAAAATTTTATTTAAGCCAAAAAAATCTTTATTTGTACCAAGTAAATCTTTTACTTCACTAAAAAAATATTTTATTTGATTAAAATAAATGACTTGTCTTTTACAAAATAAATATTTATTATACTATTTATTTTTATAAAAATATTTGTTCATTATTTATTTTTATAAATATATTTTTTTATTATTTATTTTTATTATTATATTTATTTATATTCAAGTATAAATAGTTATTTCATAATAGACAAGTAATCGACTATTTGAGTCAGATAAATTGTTTTTTCCAGATAGTTGAAGCAAATAAATTAGTATATGCTCTGAGACAAATATAATTTTATTTGACTGAAAAAATATTTTATTTAATTCAAACAAAATATATCTCTAGATAGAATAAATTTGTCTATAGGTGTATATCTCTACACAAAAAAATATAAAAAAATCCCTAATCCTCAAAAAAAAAATTATAATCGTCCCTCCCTCCTCAAAACAAACATCGAAGAATCATATAAGCAAGTGCAACCTAAGAATGTAAAAATAAAAAAACACGAATCAGAAAGTGTTGTCCGATAGGAAATTTGATCAGACTGGAAATAGTTACTGTTTATAAGTGAGAAAAGTTGCTTAAAAAACGCCCACATATACATCTCTAGTCTATTGACAAGAGGCTAGTCGCGGCTTAAGTTTAACGTGTTATACAATCGTGAAGTCACATTATGTATTACAATGGTATTTGCACTATCGTACTGTATCGTGGGTAAGTAGTGTGTGCATTGGTAGGTGTGGCGTTAGAGAACTAAACAACTAATGGAGGGGTGCGCACAGGATTCAAATGGAAAGTCCATTCCCTATATAAAGGGTTGTTTTCTGCCATTAACAAACAGAACGATTCTTATTTATCTACATTAAACACTGTCAGTTAATAAAATTATTGGTCGGTCGACATGAAGCTTTTGGTACGTGTTGTCGTTTATTTCTTTTTTTCATTTTTTTCAAATTCGAATTTTTTTTCACAAAATCGCGTGTTTTTAAAATATTACATTGTGATAATGCGCTAATAAAAACTTTAACAAATTTTTTTTCGGAGTGAATACAGTGATGGTTACTTTAAATCTAAATTAATTTCAAAATAGCAATTAATAAAATTTTTATTGAATTTTGCTACCATTGCAAAATTTGCTTCAGAAATTAGTAAAAACTTAACTATAATTACTAATAAAAAATTAACTAATTATTAGTAGACAAAAATAATTATTTGTAAAAAATACTTATCATTGTAAAAAATATTTGTTGGTAAAAAATAATTATTAGTAAAAAATATTAGAAAAAATATTTATTAGTTAAACAATAATTACTTTTTAGTATAAAAAAACAATTTCCAATAAATAGTAAAATTGGACTAAATGAACTACTTTTTAGTAAACTATTTTGAGATAAACTAAAAGTGAATTTAACTAATGGTTATTTTAAACTAAATAATTAGTAAAAATATTTCTATTTGAATCAGTGATTAACTTATTACTATATCAAATTAGTTATTTTTGCTAATTAAAATTTAGCTAGTAAATTTTTAACTCTCTAAGATGGAACTAATTTATTCCTAAAAAAATTTGATCAATTACTAGCAAGAAATAACTAACTAATAAATTCAAGTAATTAAGTTCAAGTTAGTTACAGATTTTTAATAATATTCTTTGTCATATTTAGATTAGATTTTAAATATTATCTATTAATAAATTAAGATCTTAATAACCATTAAATGAAAATATAATTTCGTTACATTTCATTAATTAATTAAATAGTTAATTAAAAAAATTTAGAAGTAGTTAATTACATGTACTAATAATTAATTGAATTTACTATTAAACAATTAAGTTTACTATCAATTAATTAATTTTTCAATTAATTACTGACATTCACAATCAATTAATTGTATTTACATTTAATGAATTAAATTTATAATTATTGAATGAAATTTACAATTGATTAAATTAATATTTACATTTAGGATTTTACTTTACTTACATTTACAATTAATTAATTGTATTTACGTTTAATTAATTAAATTTATAATTATTTAATGAAATTTACAATTATTTAATTAAATTTACAGTTAATTAATGGAATTTACAATTGATTAAGTTTACATTTAATTAATAAACTTTACAGTTATTTAATTAAATTTACAATTAATTAATAGAACTTACAATTACTGAACTTAATTTACGATTAATCAATAAAATTTAAATTTCTATTAATTAATAATTAACAACCAATTAATTAATGAATAACATTAATCAAATTATTAAGTAGTAGAATTTATCACTCGGTAAAAGATATTATTAATTGTCAAGAAATTTATCAATCCTCCAAGTCAAATATTAAACAAATATTAAAACTCAATTTTACGTTTCGACAGCCCTGCTGTCCTCATCAGAAAACTGAAAATATTTATTTAAAAGGTGTTAATCCATTGTTGATAAATTTCTTGACAATTAATATTAATCAAATTAGTTGCATTGACATTAAGTTCGCCAATCAAATTGATAAAAAAATGTATTGAATGTCAGCCAGAGTTTGTTGACTAAAGTGAATCATAAGAAATTGGAAGAAAAATATTTTTGTAATGTGTAATAAATTTGTGTTTTTTTCAGATTTGTTTATTGCTTGTCACTGTGGCGTATGCCGTGGAGGACAAGGCAGCAGATGACAAAAATGTTAAAAAACGTGGCCTCCTGGGTCTTGGATATGGATATGGAGGATATGGGGCACATGGAGTAATTGATGGAGGCTGGGCTCATGGTGGTTTAGCACATGGAGGTTGGGCAAATGGAGGCTGGGCGCATGGACATGATCATCACACAACTGTTGTGACTAAAACTGTCGCCGTACCACATGCCGTCCCTGTTCATGTCCCAGTTCATGTCCCTGTTGATCGACCATATCCAGTGAAGGTAAGAAATAAAAAAATTTAGTAAAGGAAAATCTTTTTTCAGTTACTTTAATATTTATTTAATTAATTACTCACTTTTTAGTTATTTAATAATTTATTTATTTAACTATTTATTTATTTTCAAAAATTTAATCCTATTAAAGAAGTTGATAAATTTAGCTTTGTTCTTACACATTTTTTTGCTTATTTAAGAAAAATTTAGTTATAGCTAGAAAATATAAATTAACACATAAAACAATTGGAATTTCCGCTATAATTTCCGAAAGTTTATATCACAACGGTATTATTAGGAAATAGTTTCTTTAGATTTTAACAGAAGACATCGATTGAATGTTTCGAAATTTTTACTGAGAATATTGCAAAATTGACAAATTTAATTGATTTTTATATTAAATCTATACCTACTTTATATTTTTGTCAGTTACATATTAAATTTAATTAATTGAGGGGCTGGATGTTATAATGTGTTACGCGCCGTGTTAAGTGAATGGCGCGAAACACATTATAGCATCCAACCCCTCAATTATATGATTTTAGAGTATAAATTTACTAATTCATATATTTAAATTTTAAATCGAACAAAAATTTATTTAAATCAAACAAATATTTATTTTAATGAAGTAAATGTTTATTTAGATTAAAATAAGTTTATTTAAAATAACTCTAAAGTTGAGTTTATACAGAAAAATGGGATAATAATTTTTTAAATATAATTTTTTCCTCAGTGTATAATAAAACGAAATAATAAATCGAGAATTAAATAAACTTTTTGAATCACATAATAATTTATAAAAGTAAAAATTATAGTAAATTTTGTTATTCTTTTGCGCTGTTTTCTAAACCCAATTTTCTTCACATTGCACGCATAAATTATAAATTTATAAATCTAAATATTTTCATCTCAGGTACCAGTTGCTGTTCCCAAACCCTATCCAGTAGCTGTTCCAGTACCTCAACCCTATCCAGTTGTACACACCAAAACAGTGGCAGTTCCAGTTCATATCGACAGACCAGTTCATGTTCCAGTTCCTGTCAAGGTTGCCGTTCCAGCTCCATACCCCGTTAAGGTAATTATTTTTAGGTAAATAGTTCCAAAAACAGTTCTGTAAATTCAAATAATTTTTCAGGTGCCAGTTCATCACACAGTTCCAGTTCCAGTCGCAGTTCCACATCCCGTGGTTGTGAAGGAAACAGTTCCAGTTCTCGTCCACGGTCATGGTCATGGTTACGGTCACGGTCTCGGTCACGGCCACGGTCTCTATGGTCACTATTAGAAAAGTTAAAATTTCAACACATCACTCACTCATTCCACACCTCAAAGAAAAAAAAAATCATCATCTACTGCCTTTTTTTATCATGTGATGTGTGTTATCATCTTTGACAATCCGATCAAAACTATCTTTTATATTTTATACACTGACAGCGTTGACTGAAAATTAGTGTCTTGACATTCTTTTATAAAGAAAATCATGTGCATGATCTCACATTTACATATATGTCATCGCCACATTCAAAATAGGAAAGTCAATAAATAATATGCATGTGGATCGAGAAAAAATGAAGAAAGAAAGGGCAAAACTTTCACGCCAAATGTTCGATTTGAAGAAAATAAATTAATATAAAACTTATGTTAAAAATTAATGGGATTTTTTTTTAATTAACCTTCCCACATGACATTTTCTTACAATACATTTTATACGGACGGATTGCATGCACTTGTCTCTCGCAATCTTTTACTTTTGCATAACTACTTTATTCTTGATCTTTTTCTTGATTTTTTTCCCTCATTTGCTAATCGAATGATTTTAATGCGACGTTCTTCAGAGGATAAACATTTATACAGAGTAAACATTTATAAATATATATGCATACGACTAAAGGAAACATGATTTCGAAATCTTTGGTGGTAGCACAAAGAATAATAATTAAATACAAATGGAATATGTTCTCTAATGCATGATAAGGGTACGTTCAATTTTATCTGATCTCTCCTCGATGATGTTAATGATGATGAAATTATTCTATATAGAAAAAAGGTTCTTTATTACATTGAATCTGAACTTTATGTGTGGTATAAACTTTTACCATCCTCCGTTTTGCAATAATCAGCTTCGTAATTTAATAAAATTATGATAGAATACAATTTTTTTATACTCTCTAAATTTGAATCAGTTAAAATTTTAACTTACATTGATAATTAAGAGTTTACTCAAATAACCGATTACTTTTCTATTAATTTATTTTACACATTTCCCCGAGGTCAACACATATTGACCATAATGGGTTACAGATTCAAAAGAAAAAATATTATTTCTAGGAAAAATTTCTATAAGCTTTTGTATAAAAGAAATTTTTACAAAATTTCTTGATCCACGATTTTTAAAAGAAACATTTTTAAACGCCGATTAAATAGTATTATTGCTTCGAATACTCAAATTTTTAATAGACAAGTCACCGGTTACTTGAATCAAATAAATTTGTTTTCAGTGTATTTAAATCAGTGACTAAGTTTTTGCTTTTGAATTATAATTAAAATTTACTGTAAAAATAGTAAAACATAAGTAAAAAATTTTTCAGGGGGTTGATTATGTAATTTCATTTCTACTTTGACTTTCAATTTTCAACTTTCACTTTGAAAGATTTTCATTTTCACTTTTTCTTTAATAGATTGTTATTTTCACTTTCATTTGTACTTTAAAAGATTTTTGTTTTCACTTTTATTTTTAATTTTTATGAAAATAAAAATCTATCGAACTAAAAATGAATTTCTTTTTACTTTCATTCCTACTTTAACAAATTTTTATTTACGCACTTTAATTTCTAATTTTTACTTCGATAGTTCTATTTTCATTTTCACTTTGATAGAAAGTGTAAATCAAAATCGCTATTAAAGTGAAAATAAATGTGAGAATAAAAATCTATCAAAGTGAAAATGAAAAAATGCTATCAAAGAGAAAGTGAAAATGAAAGTCAATGTAAAAAAATTAATAGTAAAAAATTTGTATAGCTAGTAAAGTTTAGCTGATTTGAAAGCAAAAAGTTATTTGTATGAAATAATTTTTCTATTTAAGTCAATTAAATAGTATTTGCTTCAAATACTGAAATTATTTATTATTGCATGAGAAAAAAACTCATTTCACAGGAAAATTTTTTGAAGAATGATTTGAAATAATCCAGTGAAAGCAATTTTTTCCAGTTTTAAAATTTCACCGTGTGTGTGCAACACATTTTGCAAAACTCTCCTGAACTCGAGTTGAATTTTAAAATTGATATCAACTTTCCTCGAGAATAATAATCCTGTCGACGCGACAACCAACGACACTTGTCATGTCCATTAGGAAGGATATTATCATAAGAACGAACGCGTAATTTCGTTTAAACAGGAACTATGTCACGACGATTAGCATGACAATATAAGTGTCTTACGGCGTTTCGTAAAAATTTATATTTCGTAAATTTTGCCTAATTTCGCAACACTCCTTTCTTCGTAAAAATCATTTTTTTTTCAAACTAAATTTACAGAAGAAGAAAATCTATTTTCGAAAAATTAACGAAAAACGAAGAAATTTATTTCAAATAATCAATATTAATTTTCAACACAAAAAATATATGTAGAAAAATTATTTTCTTTACTATATTCAAAAAAAAGAATCTACTATTCAGACAGAATAATCGACTTCCGATTCTCGTTTTCTCCTCTCTGGAACCAATTTCATCTTAGGCGCTTACTCTATCCTCAATATATCAAAATGTATTTCTTACGTAATCCTTCGCTTATGTTGGATTTAGTTTGAAAAATTGTTATTTGTCACAAATGGAAATTGAAAGGAATTTTGTTATCGTAGCTTAAAAATTAAATAAAACTCATTTATCTTAAAAATGTTCACATAATTTCGTTCTATAATTTAAAAATTAAACAAAAATAATTATTAAACAATTTTTTCATTTTTTACTTAGATTCTATAGTAACAATAAAAATGTATTTTATTAAAATTTAATTTAATTAATGACACTGAATAAAATTATTTGATTCAAATAACCGATTACTTTCCTGTTATACAATAAATACTTACTTGAATAAGCAAATAATTTATATTTAACCCAATTAAAGTGTATTTTAACCAATAATTTCGGTATTTGAAGAAAATAACATTTAATTGATTTAAATAAAAATTGTTCGATTCAAGTAAATATTTATTATAAAAAAATAATAGAAATGATAGACAATAAGTAGTCGGTTATTTGAATAAAATAATTTTTTTTTCCAATGTAGATAAATTTTATTTTATTATTATAATTATAATTTTTATTAAATTTTTATTTATTTTGATTTTTAGTAGAAGACAAATTTTTTAAATTTTTAAACAAATTTGTTTATATAAAAATTTTTAGTTTCTCTTATCAAGGAAAAATTTTATTTCCAAAAATTTAATAAACTAAAAAATAAGTAACGTGTAAAAAAAGTGTATAACTATTCCAACATCGTTTTTATGTTCTCTAATAGAAATATATTGAAGGTATGACAAAAAACGAAATAATAAAGGATGACAACCAAAGTGACACAGTAATTACAGAAAGTTTCTTCAGCTTCCCTAATAAAAACTAATTCCCTAATCAGAACAAAGATCAACGGATTCTGGTGTCCGAAAATCTCCCAATTCGGATAAAAGGATCAAGGACGCTTCAGAAAACCTGTCGACTAAAATTCCTTGTCTTTTCGACTGGATGCATTTTGCCAGGACAAATCCTTGGAAAAAATAAATCCTCAAAGCCCCGACTATATCTTCTATTCTTGGATAGAATATATACATGTATAGTCTATGCAATATGCAGATGCAAATGTGAATGCAAATGCCTACAAGCTCAGAAGAATCTAGTGTTGCCTTTTGCCAGCTAGTTCTAAAAGGGAATGTCGAATGCAAATTTTCGGTCAAATTAAGGAGAGGATAGAATCTGCATCAGAGAACGAAAAACAAAAAATAAGAAAGAAAGAGGAAGGAGAAGGAAAAAAATAACACACTCGACTTGGCTTACCAAATGGTGATAAAGCCTATACTATCCGGTCTAAATATTCCCTCAAGAGAAGTCTAGACTTAATTTTTTCCTGACCAACCCAAACAACCTAACCAGTTGTTTCATCCGCAACTTCTTTTTCCAGTCAAAAAATTTATTTATTGACTCGACCTTCTAATTGTTTTTATAATATGCATTTTATAACATAGGGATAAGAAAACAAAATTTTCTGACATCAGTATTTTTGTAATCATGACAAATTGAATACTTAAATATTATGTTTTATAATAGGTGACAAATATCTTGTGGCTTTCAAATCGCTGGTTTTTTAAGAATATTATTAAAAATCGAGTATTTTAACATAATCGGCTAAATTGTTATTTTGATTATTTTTATTAACTTAATTCTTGTATTCAAATATTCTTATTGAATCCACTTATATAATTGTTTTATATCTTATTTAATTTGTCTTTAATATTTGTGTTTTTAAAATTTATTAAAAATTAATTTATTTCAACTAAAAATTAAGAAATTAATATTTAATATTAATATTAATATTTAAGTTTAAAATAATTCTATTAGAAGGTAAGAAATATTTAATTAATAATAATAATAAAAATTATTATTATTTAATATTATACATTATTATATTAAAAATTTTATTTATAATTAAGAAATTATTGTTGAAATAAACATTAAATTTTTGATAGAACACTTTTATCTAAAAGTCAATGAGAATCGTACTTTAATTATTTTATTATAAATTTATCAATGAAAAAATTTTGTCATATTCTTTTCGACCTGCGCTATAATAATGAATTTTGATTAATCCCAAATATTCTAGAAACACGGAATCCAAAAAAATGCATTCTACTCACTAAACAACTTAGACCAATAAATTATTTTAAATCCATCCGGTTTAATTTAAAAATAACAATTTTATTTTTATAGTTGAAAAATATATTTCAACTAAAAATATAAAAACTATTTTATAGACAATAGAAAAATTATTTTATAAACAATACACTGAAAAAAATTTTATTTGATTCAAATAACCGATTACTTCTCTATTATCAAATACGTATTTACTTGGATCAAATAATTTTTACTTAAATCAATAAAATTCAAATACTAAAATACTAAAATACTTTAAATACTTTATTCAAATACAATTTAATTCACTTAATAATTAAAAATTATATGATTCAAGTAAAAATTTATTTGATTATAGACAAGTACACGGAGAGAGAATATATATTAAATTTTGTAAAAGTATTTTACAAATTGGGGAAAAAGTGCAACAAAGCGAAATTTTTATATAGAAAATACTAAACTTTAAAAAAAGGTTTGTAAAATTTATTAAAGTTATATTAGAATTTAATTAATATTCTTGATATTTGATATAATTATACTAAATTTCACATAAGTTTTTTTAAAGTTTAGTATTTTTTATATCAAAATTTCGCTTTGTCGCACTTTTTCCCCAATTTGAAAATATTTTTACAAAATTTAATATATATTCTCTCTCCGTGTAATCGATTATTTCAATAAAATAAATTTTATTCCAGTGTATAAAAATTAGTTTATAAATAATAGAAAAATTATTTATTAGACAATAGAGAAATTATATTCTAAGCAATATAGAAATTATTTTATAGAACATAGATAAATTATTTTATAAAACAATATAGAAAGTATTTTATATTTTAAATTATATTTTTCAAATAGAAAATTTTTCCATTAAAAAAATAAATAAAATACATTTTGAATTTATTTCCAATGTTACTCAAAGAAAGTAAAAATTAAATTTTCGAATTTCAACTTTGACAATAGAGGGTTAGTACTATAATTTAGAATTTCTTTCAGTTGTTGTCATTACCAATTATTATCTTTTGTACCCTAAGCAGACACTTATATAAAAGAAAAAAAATGAAAATCATGCTTTTTTAGTGTTAGTACTTTTGAAAATTATGTCCTATAAAAGTTAATAATAGAACAAAATTCGGGTCTACGAAGGGGACCCAATGCGTAAAGAGAGGTCGGGATTAAAATTCTTTTTGGGACGTTTTCTTTTTTACAGGTGGTCAATTATAAACTGGAACCTAAGGTCCAAAATTAGGGTTCTTTTATATCCTTCAAATCACTCAGGACATTTCAAATTCCACTAATTAGCCACTTATCGACTCGTATATAATTTTTCCTCAAAACAAAACAAAACCGAAGAAAAAAAATGTCCTTTTTTTACAAACTATAAAAAATTCACTCACTATTAAAAACCCAAGAATCAACAAACAAATAATTCTTTCCATTTTCTAAAATTAATTTTCCAAAATAAAAAGTTCCGACTTTTACAAAAAAAAAAATACTGGCACAATTTTTCTAAACAAAAAATTCTCCGATTTTTCCAAAGAAAGTGGTAGAAAAAGTTTTCGAAACGATAAATTCTGATTTTCATCAAGAAAAAAATACTGGCACAATTTTTCTAAACAAAAAATTCTCTGATTTCTACAACAAAATATAGTAGAAAAAGTTTTTGAAACGAAAAATTACGATTTTTACAATGGGAATAATACTAAACAAATTCTCGGATTTTCATCCCAAAAATACTAGATCACAATACAAAAAAAAGACGAGAGAATAGCAGAAAAAATGGTCCGAAAGTCACGAGTGAAACATTTCTTGTGACTGAACGTAAAATTTTATAACGTTTACTCTGGAAATATCCAAAGTGCAAATAACAAAAAACCGGAGCCAATAAATTGCTGTCAAATTCTATATAAACGAAATCCCGCGTTTGTATATATAATAATATAACGTAATCGCGATGAATTTCTTATTGACGCATTTACGCCCGCGTATATATGCGTATATAAACACAATATACACGGGGCTTCAAGTATTATAAAATGTATGTAAGTAGCAAAAGTAGTTGTGCAATAAAATGAGAAATGTTTGAAACTCTTCTTATACAGGTGAATTTCGGACATATACATATATATATATATATATATATATATATATACAGTCGATTTCTTTTTGGTCCTTTCCTCCCCATACTGACCACTCATATGGGGTCCACCTCCAACATCGCCACGCTATGCCCACCGCCTCATCGCATATATGAGGGTTCTTGAGAACCATTCCTATATAAGCGGGTGTCCTCGCAAAATTCTTCAGTTCCAAATCAAGACCATATCAACACATCATGGATTCCAAGGTAAATATATATTTGCAACAACCCCTTTTTCGATTTCGTCTCTAAATTCTCTTTCAAATTCGGCTAATAATAACGTTCATGTCTCAGATTTCGTCAAATTTTATTTTGATAATAATAATTAGAAAAAATAATTATTTTAAATTATAATAACTTGTGAAGCATTCCTAAGAAAGGTACCTAAGAAGCAAAAAATTTTAGGTTATGTTTGTAATATTTGGAATTAAAATACAGAAAAGGGTTCAACTCTCAATATAAACTACTGATTTTTAAGTCTTCATTACGTCTGAAATAAGTAATAAAAACTGATTTTAGTTTTACACAATTAGATTAAAACTTTTAATTAGAGTAAAAGTAAGACAAACATAACCTCAAAATGATGTGTTTCTTAGGTACCTCTCTTCGGATCACGTCACAATTATTAAATAAAATTATTAAACTATAATAATTCCAATACAAGTAAACCCTTCCGACAAATTAACTATTTAGATATAATAGGTAATTGTCATAATAATTAAATATTTCTCGCATAAAAATTGTCATTAATCAATTAATCATTTCTAATTGTTATTACAATTATAGTTGGTATTGTTTTGATTAGTTTTATTACTTTAATAAAAATGATAATAATATTTGAATATAAATTATTCTCTAAATCTGAATTAGTAGTTTTCTACTAATAAAATAATTGCTAGTAGAAAACTACTAATTAATTAGTAAGTCAAATTTTTTACTATTTCAAATTAATAATCCGATTTACTAAATAAATAAATAAATTAGTCAAAATTGTTACTAATTCAATTGGTAAACCAATCTGCATTATTTCATTTTAGTAGAAAACTAGGTACTAAGTCAGATTTAGAGAGTACAATTTTCTATCAATAAAAAAAAATTTAGATAACAAAATAAAATTTAACAAACGTTTTTAAATGACAAAATTGTAATTGTTATTAAAATACAAATTTTAATTGTTTAAATTTTAAAATATTGAAAATGAAATTCTTTATCCTTCCCCCAGAACGAATTAAATCTTATGTATAGTACATAGTACATTAATATTAAATAAACAAATGACTCATTTAATGTAAAAAAAATTTAGGGTAAAGGCTTGCAGATTGTCCCACTTCCGTTATTTTTTATTCTAAAAGTGACATAATTTAAAACGCAACTGATATTGTTATCAAATGAGTAGTTATTAATTTTTATAATCTTTCGGAGCAAAAAGAAGAAATAAAAATGTTCTTGTTAAACAAATTCTGAAATTGACTTGTGGAAAAATTAAAAAATTAAAATTGTGACTTTTTCATGTGCTAACAAATGTGAAATATTTTTATAGATAATTTAAGTTACAATTTTTTCTGAGTTGCTTTTTAATCAATTTTGATAATCCAAAAGGAATTTTTAAAATATCATATGAATTAATATTTTTTTTTCATCAATTTAAAAGTAGAGTTCAAAATTATTACAGGTTGTCCCACCTGCAATTAATAATAATTCAATTGATAATTTGGATTAAATTTACACGATTTCCGAAATTTAATTTTTTTCACATATCTTGTTTTTCGTTTGATTTTCAATTAAAAAAAAAATTTTTATTTTTCAAAAATTTTCTTTTTTTTTAAATTTTATTTACAAATAAATTGTTTAAAATTTTTAAATTGAAATTATTATGTTCAGAAACATTAAATGTAAATGAAATTTAATAAATTTATTTGAGATTTTCCATATTATTTATTTATTTATTTAAGTAGTAGGATTATCAATTATTATTTATCAATTATTATTATCAATTTTTCAAGGTGGGTCAAACTGGAAGCCTAAATTTCGAAACGTTTATTTTACATCATTTTTAAAATTTGATGAAAATTTTATTTTTTGACAATTTTAATTGTCGATGGGTTAAATTTGTAGCTTTTTATGCCCTCTTTTCGATGGTAGGTTGATATAAATTAATTACTATTTTTTAATGAGTTATTAGCAAAAAAGCTTTGTTGGGTAAATACTTGCAAGCCTTTCCCCTACATGATTAAAATTTATAAACAATTATATAATATCTATATTCAAATAAATATTTATTTGTATAAAATAATGTTAATACTGAAGTCAAAAGTAAATAGTATTTGATTCAAATACTGAAATTATTTGTTCAAATACAATTTTTTTTATTTAAATAAAAACTATTTGATTCACGTAAATATTTGTTTGATAACAGACAAGTAATCAGTTATTTGAATCAAATAAGTTTTTTTTAGTGCGTAATTTATTCCGGAAACAATATGTATATTAAATATTAAATTATCTTTTACTATAAATCTTTTTAATTTAAAAAATAATTTATTTCATAAATTTTGTTTATTATTTTATGGAAAAGTTTAATATGTGCAATTCTTTTTGAAGACGTTTTACTGTATTTATAAATTTGCATTGGGATCTTATGCTAAAACTATTGTTGGGCTGAATTTTGAAAATTGAAAACTGTTATATTTTGAATTTTGAAAAATAAAGTACAGTTGAACCTCAATAATGAAAAATCTTACCTAAAATAGACTTTATAAATATACAAATATTTCAGTTATCTCTCGATAAGTTCGTGTTTGTATTCAAAACTAAAAGTATTTCAATTCAACCTAAGTCAATTTGATTAAAATTTAAATCTCGATTTAAATAATAAATCAAAAAAAATTATTTCGAGAACACTTTATCGAGGTTAAATTGCAGGTCAAACAAATCTCATAAAAAGTACTATTTTTTCGAAAACCTATAGGGGAGATTCGGGTAACCCCGGACAGTGGGTAGCCCCGAACACTCTTAACTTCTAATTGAATAATGTGTTTTTATTTTACTATTGAAATAAATTACAGATTATATATAATACAGTTTAACTTTTATTTTTGAAATATTGACTCAGTTTTTTCATTTTCTATTATTAAAAAACTTAAATTTTCTAAAAAACCTGAAAGTGTCCGGACACTTTGGAAAATGTATATATGTATACGTCACATTGAACGTCTTATAAAACCTTTATTTTATGTTGACTTTCTGTGAATATTAAATAGATTTTTAAATTTATTTCTATTACATGGTCTATTTTCATTGTTGTAGATATAATTTGATGTTAGTTTATCAAGTTCAATTGTTCAATAATTAAAATATTTTCGCGCATGTCTGGGACCACCCGACAGATTATTGAAGGTTGGGATTTTAATACTCATATTTTTCCTTATTTTTTTCCTAAAATGTTTGATTATTTTACAAATGAATTTATGCTAAAGGTTGAAAGAAGCATTTTGTTTGACATAAAAAAATTTAATTAATATTCCAAAAATATGAACACAAATTATTCACCAAAAAGCTTAAGTGTCCGGGGCTACCCGAATTTCCCCTACTGTATAAAATAAATCTTACTTTCAGTTCACTTTTGACTAAAACCGCTTACATTTTAGAATCATTTTTGACTGTATTTCTGCCATGAGAGTATTATTTTAAGTGCTAACCTACGTGAAACGATTCTACGGAAACCGCTCTAAACAGAATTTCCTTACGGAATTTTTTCAAATATTCCACATTGTATATTTTTGTAGTGTTATAGAAAATAGAAAATATTTATCCCCTAATGTTTAATAATGTAATATTACATAATTTTTAATACTACTAGTGTTATTAATATTATCATTATATTCCAATTTTTTTTTACCTCCCCAAAATCGAACGGAAACGAATGAAGTATAAGAAATCTAGTGCTCCGATTTTGATGAATCAATTCTTTCCGTTTACAGTTTTTAGTTCTCTTAGCACTTCTCGCTTTGGCCTTTGCCGAAGAGGTGAAGAAGGAGGAAGAGAAGAAACCCGATGACAAGGCAAAACCAAAAAGAGGATTGATTGGACTCGGCTACGGTTACACTGATTTTAATACATATGCAGCAGTACCTGCATTTTCGACTTATCAGTTAAGTGAACCCTCAACTCATACACACACCATTATCACTAAGGAAGTTGCGGTTCCAGTTCCACAACCTGTTGCAGTACCCATTGAAAAACATGTGCCATACGCCGTCAAGGTAAACTACTCTAATCCTTAAATAATATAGCAATCATTAAACTTACTCCCACCAGTAAATACATAACACTCTCGATTTTAATCAGTTAAAAATAACTGTATATAAATAGCACCAATAAATACATAACTATAACTCTCTCAATTTAAATCAGTTAAAAGTAACTGATTGTCACTTACATCTTGACTGACTTTTTGCTCTTGCAATCAGTAAAAATAATTTCCAGTAAAGAAAAATTCATTTATTGTGAGAAACTAACTGAAAAGTTAATCAAATTTTATTAATTAAATAAGTTGCTACAAATTCTCTGGAATAGCAGAATTATTTTTAACTAACAATTGGTTATTTCTAACTGGTAATAAGTTATTTTTAAATGACAATTAGTTATTTTTAATTGAAGATTAGTTATTTTTAACTAATAAATAATCAGTAGGACTATAACAATTTGAATCATCAGTGACTGACTTTCCGTTTCCAAATCAAATGTTAACTAAATGTAAAGAGCAAATATTAGGAAAGAATACAGACAAAAAAATATTCTGCAAACTCTAAATTGTGTAATATTCCAATGATATCTTCTAGAAATAAAACCACTTTTTTGGAGTGAATAAAAAACCGTTTACCATTTGCATATCAACAAATAATAATAAGAAGCACATCGAAAAGAGATTTGCACAAAGTAGTCGGCGTTGTAATTTGATACAAGGTCATAGAGATGTTTTAACACCCCGTCTGAGTCCTTGTGCTTCAAATTACGCTTCATTGATCGCAAAACATATTATTTGCAATTAGAGCACATGAATATGAAGAGTACTTATAAATTCATCATTCACAAGAAGAAGTGATCTTTATTTCAAAATTGCTCAATACAAGAACTAAAAGAAATACAAATTTCTGTGCAACAATTGCACAGGTTACTTGAAGATATCAAATTGGATCAAATTGATACAAAAAATTGAGAATCCCAATCAAAGAACCGGTTACAAGTTTTTGAGACTCAAAATTCTCGACCTCTAAATAAAGAAAAGGATTTAAAATTTCAATTCCTTGAAATCATTTTGTATTTGTAGATTACTAAAATGTTTCTCAAAAAATTGGGATTAAAAACAGTTTAATTTTTTACTTACAGGGCAATGATTTTGAGCTTAAAAAAATTATAACCGGTTCTTTGATTGGGATCCTCAATTTAAAACAAATTATGATTCATTCATTCATTTGTTTGTTTCAAATAAATTTTTTTTAAGTTTAGAAATAAAGATTTCTGTTTTTCATGAGTTCTAAAATCAGGTCAACATATTTGTTCACAGGTTCCATATGCTGTACCAGTCGATCGACCCTATCCAGTCCATATACCAAAACCATACCCAGTAGAAGTCACTAAACACATTGCAGTGCCAGTTGATCGTCCAGTACCATACGCTGTCAAGGTTCCAGTAAAGGTTCCAGTTCCAGCCCCCTATCCAGTAAAGGTTCCTGAACCTTATGCAGTCCCTTATGTAAAACATGTTGCTGTACCATATCCACAACCAGTTGTTGTTGAAAAATACACTCAACCACTGGTTCTCGACAAACAAACCTACACATCTGGCTGGAACTAAATTTTTCAAAATAGATTCAATTTTTCCCCAAGATTATCAAAGTCCATTTCAAAAATCTCGGGATAAATTGATAAAATTTTGATTTTTGTGATGAAAAAAAACGAATTTCAGGGATCATTAAGAATAATTATTGCGCGACTTGTAAAAAAGAAACAATTTTGACTGAGAATCAATGTGAAGTGATCACGATTTATGATTCTCTTTAATGTTTTTATTAATTATTAAGGCTCAGTTTTATTTCTAATTGTAATTCAGGAAAAAACGTACTTATAAAGCAGCACATTTGTAAAGTATTAACAAGTAATTATGTATTACTTTTCCATATTGACCTTCACTTTGAAAAAGGAACTCTACATCTCAAGTGTCTGGGAATGAAACAAGAAGATCGTTTCTCTATTGATCTAGTTTATACGTTTTTACTTGAACTTTCATTGTCATGTATCATTGACTCGCATTTATTTTCATTTAAATATACAATTTTCATAAAAAAAAATATTCTGCAGCATTATTTTCCTTTCGAACTAGGGTAAATGCACTAGTAGTCGGACACTTAAGGATACAATCTTAAATTATGCTTTTTTTCTTGAAATAGCAAATATCTACTGTGTTTATAAGCACATTATTAATTAAAGGAGTTCTTCAGGATTAAAAATCATATAAATTTGTTACAAATAGTTGAGTATTTAATAAAATATAAACATTTTAATAAAAAATTACGAATGCTTTAGTAGTCGGACACTTTTTCCCCTTGTTTCTATAGTCGGACATCTGTCAGATATTTTGAATTTATAAAGTAAAAAAGATAATTTTTTAATTGCTATCTGCTGGAAAATGGAATTAAAGCATATTAGAAGTTATTAATATAATATTTAAACCCTATACGTTTTAATATTTATGATTAATTATCAACAAAACTTTGTGCCACTCATCGCGTTACTCGAAAATGGTTGTATCTATAGTCGGACACCATGATTTTTAAAACATTAAATAAAATATTTCTTGTTTAATTATTTTCGAAAATAACACTATTTTAATAAAATATAAACTTCACACATTCGTTTTGTATACTTTTTAAAGTAATTATCACAATGCATTATTATTTATTTGCCAAAAAACACGAAAGTGTCCGACTACTAGTACTGTCCGACTATACCCGCACTTACCCTACATTATCCCTTAAACTATTTAATTATAAAGATTATCGGTACAAAAAAAATTACTATGATTCAATTTGTTTATTTCAAACGTCAAGTGAAAAAAAAAAATAAACAAGTAAATAATTTCCGAATCTGCTAAAAATTTATTTTTAATAATTAAGTAATCAATTATTTCAATCAAACATACTTCTTTCAGAGTTTCGATATTTAAAGTCTAAATGAATAGTGCAACATTGCGCATTCAAACGTAATTATAATAATTTCTTTAATACACTGTAAAAAAAGGGAGTTAAATTTTAACTCCCCAGGGGATTCTATAAAAGTCGCACCCATTGGGGAGTTAATGCCAGGGGAGTTAAATAAAGAGAGTTAAAACTTCACACCCAAATGCTAACTCCCCAAGGAAAAAATAACTCGCGCGGGTGTTGAATGAAGGGAGTTAGAAATTAACTCTCTTTTGGAGTTGATTCTTAACTCGAAAAATTTCACTCCCAACTCCCGAGTCCGTTTACTCCCTAAATTTTTTACAGTGTATTGCTTCAAGATTTCAATGCAATATTCCGAACCCTGCAAAGCATTATTAAAAAAACATTGTGGTTGATTCAAACATTATTTAAAATTAACAACCTAGTACGAAATTTAAGAAAACCAATCATCAAATTCACCAATATTTTCAAGGAATTATTAATGCATTTAAAATAAAAATTATAAGACATTCGTGTTTTTAAGTATCGAATTTTCTCTTTATTTTCATCATTTCGTTTCGCTTGAATGAATGCAATTTAATATTTATTGCAATCCATGTACGAAATGATTTAGTTTTTAAATAAACCTAAAAGAATCTCTCTATTTTATTATAGAACAAGCAACAATTTTAAACAATTTTTTTTTAAATTTTATTTTTCTTTACAAAAACCAGTGTACATGTATAACAAAAATTTAAAACTTAATAATTATTCTCACTATTCAAAATATTTACACAAACAAAAAAAAAATACGACAAAATTTTTAACAATTGAAAAAATCCACATAAAAGTTAATAACAACTTTGTACTAAAATATTTCAATAAAGTTACCACAAAAATTTATTTGTTTTATTTCATCTTTTTCCTTTGATTTTCAGACAGAATGTTGACTTTTTTTCTAAATCAATAATAATTATGAAATAATTAATAAACGGTTTTAACAAAGAACAAATATTCAATTATTATTTTTAGAAATAGAAAATAATTTAAGGTTTTGTCTTAAAAAGATATTTTACAAGTAGGTTTTATAAAATTCCTTGGTCTGTGGCAATCCTCTTCAAGTAAATATTTTTCATTTGTTAATTTTTTGTATCGATAACAATTTTTTCCTATACACGGAAAATGTCAACTTTTAATACTAATTACAGAGAAATTTTTACTATCTCCAAAGTAAAGTCCACTTTTTTTACTATAATTTTAATTAAAGACAATAAAAAATTACTAGAAATGGAAAAAATTTCATGTCTAAACTTTTTGCAATTTTTCCAGAGATTTACAGGGATCACAGTAATTTGTTATGTAACATTAGCTAAAAAGTGAAATATTCAATTTTAGAAAAGTTTATTCAGTTCAAGAAAGCTGATTTTTCAAATTAAATTCAATTGTTCAATTTTTTCTGTTATTTTGATACCTATTTTTTTTAACTTTTTCCCTAGTCTGCAATTTTTCTAAGTTTTAAATCAAAATTTTTGTTAGATGTCAGCTTTTATTTTAAAATATCCGAAGTAAATATCTGTAAAAATTTGTAAAATTTACTTCAAACAAAGTTTGCAAAAGGTGTTTTTAGGAGGATTTTAATGCAAGGGGACAAAAAAAGGGAAAAAAGTTTTAAAAAAGAGAATTAGTTTTAAAAAGAAGTCAAATTGCGATCCCCGTTTTTTACCACAAAAGTACTAAAAATTACTCTATTCCCTTTTTTTCTAAAAAAGAATTAAAAAGAAACCTAAACAAAATAATTCATTACCTAATATTGTTCACTATAATTTTTGCCATTATAATTTTGACTCGATGACGAATAATCTTGTTCAGAAGCAGAATTACCAGATTTCGATACTTTAGAAAAATCTTGTGGCGTTTGATTATAATTTTGGCTTCCCGATGAAAATTCCCGTTCAGTACCATAATTTTTTTCCTGCTCTAAATCAGATTGCGAAACTTGAAATGTTTGCGCATTAGATTCATCTCCCTCGTTGGCTGAATCTTTCAGATGATCACGATGAAAAGATCTTGATAAGTAGTTGTGATTAGCTCCTCCATTACTGTCACTATAATCATTGTGAGATAATTCGCCAGATTGATGATGATAAGGCACTGGATGAGGGACAGGATAATAGACGGGTTTATTAATAGTTACAGGGTGCGGAACCGGAACTGGATGAGGAATTGCTATTGGTTTCGAGACAAGTAAAGGCACTTGTTGATGTACTTCAACTGGATAAGGTTTTTGAACTTCAACCGGAACATGATGAGGAATTTTTACTATTTGAGGAACTGGAACTGCAACAGGTTTTGCCACTGGAACTGGAACTGGAATATGATGAGGAATCTAAAAAGAAATTTACTGAATAATTTTTGTTCTATTCGATTCGATTTAACTAACAAATAACAATAAATTGCTGATGAACAACTTTTTTTTGTGTTTTTTAACAACAATTTTTTAATTGATTTTGTTTTTCAACTTTGATGTTTGTTATTAAAATTTGTAATCAAGATCTTTCTTTTCTTCGAATGAAATTAAGAAAAAAAAATGCTTTACAGGTACTCTATTGTAATAAATATGCACTTGAAGGGCATATAATGATTATAAATCTCTGCAACAAGACCACATAAATTCGTAAGTAAATTATTGCGGCAATTAAAAATAATATTTACCCTAAAATATATGAGACCCCCTGAAGTTTGATTCGACGCATGCCACCTTTTAATTGCTTTCAATTATTGAGAAAGTTAATGTTTCATTTCTTTCACCAGAAAAAGTAACGAGTTTAAAAAAAATAACCGAAACTGTATATTTGCAATTAATTAGCAAATAATGTTAATTATCAATTAAAAAATACTTAAAGAATATTTATAGTAATATTCGAAGAACTTTTGAAATCTAAATTAGTTAATAGTCCACTAATTTTAATTAGAATTAATTAATTAATAATTAATTATTAATTTTCCATTATAATGAGTATTTTGTTAATTAATTATAATTATTAATTAATTGATAACTTTTACTATAAGTTTTCATTAAAATTTTAGTAAAATAATTAAAACTACTAAATGAGTAATTTATTAATTAATTATAATTATTAAGTAATTACAAATTTTTAGTAATTTTCCATTAAAACTTTAGTAAAAAATTGTAAATACACTAAATAATTAATTTAATAATTAATTGTAATTATAAATTAATTTATTATTCTCGAAAAATGTGAGATAATAATACCTGAACAGGGTAAGGAACAGGAACTCTGATTGCAATCGTTTTGGTGATTTTGATAATTTTTGTTGGCACTTCTTTTAATTGAACTGACTGCGAGATGAGCTTTGGGTGAATATGTAACTGATCAAGAGCGTGACTGTCAAATTCAAAGTGAGAGGCCTTTACCACGGCCGCGACCGTCAATACTAAAAACTAAATACAACTCATTATAACAATTACACGATTTTCCGATTTCATTATCTCTCTCTTTCCCTCTTCCTCAAAAAATAAACATTCAAACTAAAACCAACTGTTCAAAAAGTACCATTTTTACAAAAAACCAATTTATTAAATTTTAAAGATTCAAAATTATAATATGAATTAGTTAGTTAATATTAATTAGAGAGTTAATTAATTCCTTGATAATTAATTTCAAGTTATTAATTTCTAGAAAATTAATTAACCAAGGATAATGAAACAATAATAAAAATTAACAACGAATTTATTTCTAACAATTTTAATTTTCACTAATATAATATTTAAGTTCGGAATTCCAGAGTAAATTGTACATTGACACTTGTTTGAATTTAATGTTTAGAGATTAAGTGGATTATTAATTTTGAAAATTAATCAAAACTTACAATAGTCAACGTCATTTCACTATGTTTATATAAAGTAATTTATAATCTTAAAGAAGAGCCGTACTGACAATAGTAGATCAGATTTGTTGCTTATATACGAAGACCTTCACCGTCATTCATGAAGAAAGCACTCTCCTACTACATTACATTCGACAATCTAGTTAAAAATATTTCTCCCTTCAAGCAAGTTCAATGAACTGACCACTATTCTGATAAAATAGATTTTATGATAAGCTCTCATGATCCATTGTCTATTTCAATAGGAGAGTTGATCGTATATATAAGACCTTTTTTCTGAATAGTTTAATAATAATAAAAATTAAATATAACTGCAAACGGAAATACTATTGTAAAAACAATGATTAATGTTATTAAATTGAATATAAAAAAAACTATCTACTTACAAATAGTAGTTCTTGACCGATTTGTTTATTAAATAATTAGAAAATATTTTTAATAATTTTATTTTAAAAACTACTAACTGTTACTAAAAAAAACTAATTGTTAGTAGAAAACTACTAATTCATTAATTAAGGCTACTAATTAGTTTAGTGAACGTTACTAATTGAAATTGTTACCTTAACAAATGAATCAGTAATTTTCTACTAACAATTAGTAGTTTTTTACTAAGAATTAGTCAAAACTCTTACTAATTCATTTAATGAACATACAAATGGTCTTATTTTATTAGTCAAAAATTACTATTGCAGAATTAGAGTGTACTAATAAAAAAATTTTACTAATAAAAATTGCAAGCCCAACAAATAAATTAGCAGCTGCATATTTTACTAACTAAAAATTATCTTGGAGAAAATTGTAAACCTAACTAATATTTTCACACTGAAATTTTAATTTTTACTATATTAAAATTTTGAACCTGCATGTCATTTAGTTTTGTGTATTTTAAAAGCTTAAAACATTTTTCAGAATTACTACTAAATTTTTAATATTTTATCTTTGCATTTTCTTTAGGAATTAATTCTAAATATCCGTTTTTCTCATCTGTTAATATCTTTTTTACCAATTTAGAAAGGAGAAAGAGAAATGAATCACGTAAAGAAATTTATTTTGTAACTATAAATTAACTGTGATTTAAGTAATTTAAGACTTTACTTCATACGTTAATCTGCATTTCCTGGATAAAGAAAATTTAACAAAATGTAATTTAAGAAGTGTTATTTTGAATATTGCTGCTATTTTTTTATTACATTAGGGGAGAGTCTCCAGTTGTGAGACACCTCCAGTTGTGAGACAGTCAATTTTTTTTAACATGCAATATTAAAAAGCCGATTGGTTTATATAAAAACATTTCTTTTTATATGAGCCAACTATTTCGTGTACACCGAGGCGGATATATAAACTGTTTTTGTTAAATACCAACACTGTGTGTGATAATCGACTAAAAAGCGTTTTTTCAATAAATGCAAAGTACTTTTTTTGCAATTTAATTAATTGAAGAAGGTAAATGTAATGCATTTTCTTTTAGTGTTTTCCTTATATTTTGTGATGCAATATTGCATTGTTCCAATCTGCGGTTGAAAATAATTTAATTTTCCTTTTTCAAAATAGCGCCAATTTCTGGGTGTGAGACACAGCATATCACCAGTTGTGAGACGGTGTCAACACCCATCTGGGCAGCATAAAAAATACGACTTTGCAGGCATACTATTTAAATGTTGTTTTGATTTTTTTTCTAGTATTTTTGGGCATGTCAAGTGGAAGAAAGTCAATTGATTCAGAAGAAATCAATTTTAATGCTCTTGTTGAAGCTATTAAATTGTGTTTATTTGATAGTCATATTTTGGCGAATAAATATTATTATTCAGTATATAATAATATATATTATTAATATATTTAATTATTTCTACTAAACATAACGTTTTATGTCAAACTTATTAAATTTTAGCAATTTTTAATGAGTGTCTCACAACTGGAGACATTTTTTTTTTTTGAAAAAAGCGATGTGTTCGGAAAATGTATCGTAAAATTTTTTGAGTTCATCGAAACACTATACTTTCTTTTAATAAAAGTTGCGTATTTCTGTTACCTTTCGATCGGTGTATTTTATTTACAATTTCGTTTGCCCGTTTACAATTTACGGGTCAAAAATGAAACCCGTCTCACAACTGGAGACTCTCCCCTACTAACTTTAATTTAATCACGTTTATTTAAAAGATAAAATTCTAATATCGATCGTATATGTATTATTGGGTCTTTTAATAGTACAAAATAACTAATTTTACTAATTGAATTAGTTACAAAAAATATTAGTTATTTTGTAACATAGCCTGCAAGTGAATTTAGCTAATAATTGGTTATTATTATTTATTCTATTAGTAAAAAATTACTATTTGAATAAGTGACTGATTTTTACTATCAAAATAGTTATTTTTAACTAATTCAAATTTAGAGAGAAATTTAACTTGTGAAAAAGTAAATTTTGTTCACTCGATAGAATATTTTTCTCACTAACAATAAGAGAGAAAAGTATTAAGAAGAGGCAACTAATAAAAAAAATAATTAACAAACCACAAGAATAACTAAAATTTACCATAAAATTTTGTTCTGACTCTAAAATGATTTTAATTATAAATTAAATTGCAATTTTATCAGCATTTTATTATTATTAATTTACAAATATTAATATAGTTAAAATTACAAACCACAATTTCTAGTTGAATAATCATTTCAGCCAAACAATAGAATACTTTTAATTGCACAAAAATCAATTTTATTCTTTAGAAAAGAAAGAGAGAGAGAGAGGATAGAAAATGGATTTTGTTTTCAGGACTATCACTTCCGTATTGGTATATCCTTCAGGTGAAGTCTCTCGATTTCCGGCTATACAGAATAGACACGATCGGTGTAAGAGAGAAAGAGTATCAATATAAAGTCTTCTCAAAAATACCATAAGAAGCAATTTATAATCAAGAGTGAATGGTGAAAGGTTCACCCTGTTTCTGATGAAAGGACGTAAAATACATATTGGAAGGGGCACAATTTGCAAATGTAACTAATATAATCATCAGAACAACATCAACATCTATAATTATTGACTTATATTGACTCTTAAAAAGAACTTGGCAAAATTGCTTGTTGCATCCTTCTAATGGGAAAAAGGATGGGATCTCATCTTCTATTTACTAAAGCATCGCTTTTATAGTCTATAAAATTCATATTTGATTATCTCTTTTCTCTGTAAGCCAGTTTTCGATTATATTAGATCAGTATTATCTACTTCAACGTTTTACTTTATTAAAATAATAATTAATTTATTAAATTATACTATCTAAATCTAAGGTAGCAATTTTCTACTCTCTAAAACTGAATTAGTCACTTTTAACTAATGAAATAGGATCGATTCATTCTTTAAATGAATTAGTAAACGTTTTAAATGATTTTTGGTCGAAAACTAGTAATTGTTGGTAGAAGGAAACAAATTGTTAGCAGAAAACTATTAATTTATTTACTAAAGCTACCAATTAATTTATTAAACGTTACTTATTGAAATAGTAAGCTAACTAAATGTGAGAAAGTAGAAAGCTTACCTAAAGTGCAAACGTTAAAAATTTGCCAAAAATGTGTTTCTTTGTCTGAGTCAAAATTTTTTTGAGTAAAGGAACTATTTTTCTATGTTTTCTGTTTTCTGACAGTTGCTGAAGTTTCTGATTGTCATTAATAAGAGATCTAAAGAAAAAGCGAAAATTTCCGTTTTTAACTTTCTCAAAATGGCTGGTACGAAACCATTTGGGGGGGGGAATCTCAAGAATAATCAAGATATCAAATTCTGATAGTAATTAAAATAAAAATTAACAGTCTGTAATGAACTGTTAAATTATTTTGACATCATTTAAATACATTTTAGGGCCTTTTTCCGAACAAAAAAGTAAATAAATGAATCATTAGTAACTTTACTCTGAGATGATTTATGTCCATAAAAGTTATGTTGACTTGGTTAAACTTGAATTAATATTATTACTTTATTTAAATAAATTTTAAGGCCTTTTTTGAAATGATAATAAATAAATTGTTAAACAGTGTCTAAATTTCAAATATAATAGCAGCAATGGTTTTGCCTGTTTTAATTTTCGCCCTATTTCTAATAAAATATACACGAATTTTGTTATTAATTTTTTTTCGTCCTCATACTTAAATGCTTCCAAAGATGTCGAAAAGTACACCTTTTCTTAATTCGTATCGCCTTGTCAAGAACATTTTACAACTGACAATTAGTAAAATATTTAACCAAAAGAGGATTAAAGTTAAGTAATAAATAAATAATAATAATAAATAATAATAGTGCTGTGATTGCTAGTAATATAATATTTTCTAAATTCCTAATAAATAAAAGTAAATACGCAAAACCTATCCTCACTTTATGTGAACAATAAGGAAGAAGAGAATAAACAATTACAATGTAAAAATATGGGGGTCGGATACGGACCACCCCCACGATTTTCACAAAATGTTTTGACAATCACGTATATCAATGGAATCAATTTAATTTGAATATTGTGCGTTGAAGTTAAGGTCATAAACAATCAAAATTAATTAACGTTTAAATTTTCATGTATTCAAAAAACACTGTTAGCTCGAATTCCGTATAGGTCAAAAATTAATTTAACCAATGCTAAAATCTAATATTGCTTGAATCTCCAAAATGAAATCAAACGCATTGATAAAACCTGTGGCCCAAATGTTGGTGTTGTGAAAGTGTTCGACAGTCGGTACTGACGAATTTTTTAGTTGTACCATCTTTAAGAAACTGAAAGGGGTCCTATGGTACGACCGGTGGGTATGGGACCACCCTCCCCTACTATTTCAATAGTCATAAAGTAACTAATTCACTTTCAAAAACTAAATTAATAGAAAATTTAGAAAGAAACTAATTATGCAGATTTACGGAGTATTAACACTATTTTCCCAGATGGAAAAGTTAATGTTAGTTAATGTTAGTTAACGTTAGTTAACGTTAGCTAATAAAACTAACGTTAGACTAATGTTTGATTAACGTTAATCTAACATTAGTAACCAAAAAATGTCGTTAGATTAAAGTTAGCCTAACGTTAGTCTAACGTTAGTTTTATTAGCTAACGTTAACTAACGTTAAATTTTCCACCTGGGTTCCATGTTATTCACAATATAATAAACAATAT